CTGCCCCCCCCCCCCCGAAAAATCTGAAGAGGCCCCCCCAAAAAAAACCTGAAGCCCCCCCCCCCGGGGGAATTTCTGAAAGAAACACTGTGCTGTTAGTTTTTGTACATACTATCCATCCATCCCTCCAACCCCCCATCCATCCAACACATAGTTGCGTTGGGTCGTTTGAAAAATTATGTCCACGCAAAATTTATCAAAAAAATTTCCAAAAAAAAAAAAAAAAACAGTTTTCAAAAATGCGGAGCGGGACCCAAAAAATCTCAAACTCCGGATGTTGGAATCCAACTCTGATTTGACACAATGATTATGTCTCTATTGATAAAATGTTTATGTACAGTGCGGTGAGCCCAGCCCTAGGCTGGGGTACCGCGCTATATAAGACGTCTTATTATTATTATTATTATTATGAGCTACTCTCTAACACGAGTAGAACTTAGCGCTTCACACACGGGATACGGTGAATTCTTTCGGATGGTCATAAAACATCTTTAATTGTTTCAGAGGCGTACTGATGGCGTGGCGAGACAAGACGAGCCCCGTAGGTACGGCTTGAAATGGGGCGCAAAACGTGCGAGCCGTGCAAGGAATGTTTGTTTTCGAATAATAATAATAATTATAATGTTTGATTTTAATCAAGATAGATAAACTCTATGGAGTCTATGGCCTGAGATGAAATGCTTCTCACTAAACTGCTCTCCCTGCTCACCAGCTCTAAAACAATCTTAGTTACTTTCTAATATTTTACGGAAATCGAATAAATTTAAATGCGCAAAAAATAGTTTAAATCCTCTTTTATTTTAGTAAAAGTTTAAGTGTTATTATTATAAATTACAAATACATTTAAAGTATCAAATAAGGAGCAATTTTAAGCATTTTATATGTCTTTGAAAGTTATGAAAAATTAAAAAAATAATAATAAAAAAATCATGTTCCAAAAATGACACCGTAATCAGATTTATCGGGAAAACCCAAACATTAGTTGTTTGAAGTGCGTCTTTTAGTGCGTTATTAAAATTGCGAAATAAAATTAAAATTAATTTGTTCAAAATAATCACGCAAAAGACGTCATAGCACAAATCGCCTACTTCTTCGCCCACGATCAATTTATTGATAATTTTGGCTCCTATGCATGTAGATGGGATTTGCAATGTTTCTGTGCCTGGTGTTGATGAGGAAATTTCACTGATTTCCTGTGCCACTTTGTGAGGGAATCATGCCACAACTCTTATGTTTCTTTAAATTTAATAACCGCGCGTGACAAAACTGATAATGTATTTTCCCTTCTTAAAAATAAAATTAATAAATAAAATTGATTGCTTTTTAAATTGTTAATAAAACACACACACTTTTTTTTTTGCTTTATATATTTTTACATTAAAAAAAAAATTAGCCTTTTTTATTCCAAAAATATACTTTTATTAAATTTATAAAGTAATCTTAGTAATAACAACCAACTTTTAGATATAATTCTAATAGGAATTGCCGTTTAAGTCAATCAGTGCAGCGCAACTCCATAGCTAAATAGCATTCTCTGATCCACTTATAACTCATACAAATAAGAACGAACCATATGAAGTGCAAAATATGTTACTTTGGTTATGGAATGGACTACAACCCAGTGGAAGATTTTATAAATTTATTTAAATCTGGGTGGGGGAGGGGTTGGTCACTTTGCCACAGGCAGCACAAGATACGTCTCAAAATAAAGGAATGAATTTGATAAATAATTAACCTTCTTGGGGTACATACATATCGGAGGTAGGAAATAGCATGTGTACATTTTTACGTGGATGACAATATATTATTTAAACCCTATGGTATTACATTTGTGAAAAAAAGAAATGTTGAATTCTTTTTTCACTAATAAACATGTTTACCAATTAAGAAAATCAATGGTTTTAACAAATCTTGGGTACATTTATTTAAGTATATCCATGAATATCAAAACCCAATCATTTAACACACTTGAAAAATTAATTTTGAAAAATAGAGATTGGTTAATATTTCCTTTTTTTTAAAAAATGAAAATATATATTTTGTTGTTACTTTGCAAAAAGTAAAGAGTTGTCTATTTTTATGAGATTAACAATTTAATTTGTTTTAAAAGACAATCAAATCTAAAATGTACGCGTGAAAAAAAGTTGCGTGATTCTTCTTAGATAAAGAATTCTTTGTTTCACGATTTTCTGATAATGTATAATTTTTTTTAAAAGGGTAAAAAATGTGTTAAAAATTTTTGATGAAGATATCAATATATATCAAATTCCTTTAATACAAAATATATTTATATCATATATAGAGTTTTTGTTGTAGATTTAAGATTATGTTTATTAAAAAATTTTGAGAGAAAAAGTTGTAATTCAAGGGCACGAAAATGGGTAGATCTTAAGTAATTCTCTAGCGTTGTAATTGTCCCTCAATTAACTTCGTTAGTGACAAAAGTGATATAATTAGTGATAATTTAGACTATGTAATTATTTAATGTCATGTTTAGAGAAAAAATACGTAGTCTAGGGGCGTGAAAGAGAGTAGGGTATGCGTA